GCTCTGCTCCGGACTTACAGAACCCACAGAGCCACCAGACCAGCATTGTTGTTGTTGCTGTCAAGTTGGTTCCGGCCCATAGCGACCCTATATAGGGTTTCCCAGGAGTGGCTGGTGAGCCTGAACCTCTGACCTGTGATTCCAACTGGCTTTGCAGTCCAGCACATTAACCCACAGTGCCATACCAGGACTCCAAAGCAGCATTAATTTAGCAGAAACCCTCATAAACAGCCACCATGTCACAAGCTGCCCTGTGGTCTTAACAAACACTGAAACTAGCTCCTTCCAGGGTCTCCAAGAACTACTTCCCGACTGAGTATCCTGAACATAGATTAGGGAACTCCATCTAGGGCCAGGAACTCCTCTGTCATATCCTTCCTGTGGCCACCTCCTGAGCTCCTTGGCTGGCAGGAGCCCCCTACAGTTTTCTTCTCTCTGGATACAACTGCTATACGAGTCTGTTTGCTTTTTGTTTTGCTTTTTCCCTTTTATTGTTTTATTCTTTTTGTTTGCTTATTCTTTCTTTTCCTTCTATTCCCTTGAATTTTATTCTTTATGTCTTTGCTTTCATTTTTCTTTTTCTTTTGTGTTTCATTTGCCCTCTTCTCTTTTACTCTTTCTTCAGTAGTCTCTGCTTTCTCTTTTCATCTTTCCTCTCCCCGATTTTTGAAATTGTTTTTGTAATGTCTTCCTTTTATTTTCTTTCTTTTCTCTTCTATAGTTCCATTTTCCTGTTTTTAATTATTATATTCATTTTTTCTGGTTGCTGCCTGTCTTTATTTCTTTTTTCTCCTTTATTATTTTCTCTTTTGATTGTTGCTTGCTTATTTGTTTATTCTGTTTTGTTTTCTTGTGTATGTGTGTGTGTGTGTGTGTGGTTTCATCTTTTCCAACTGAAAGGAGTCAGCAACTGTGCCCAGGCAGCCCAGCCACAACCATAATCTCCACCCACTCAGTAAGAGCCAAACCATGTGCTATACCACCTGATCAATGATAGACAGTAACTAACCCAGTCAAACCCACCCTAAACTGAGCTGCACCAAAAGTGAGTGGAAAATGGTGCACACACTTCCATTGTGTAACTGCACCCACGGGAGACAGTTGGTGAGAGCCTAAGAACACATCAACATACAATCGTCAATTAAATACAAATCTGACAAACCCCACAATGCTCTGGAGATAACAGACCATTTTAGCTCACACCAAGAAATAACATAGAATGGCTCAAAGAAATGACCAAGGTACAGAGCCAAAAACCATTTCTGAGAAAGAAAAAGTGATGGAACGAATAGATAAAGTATTCAAAAAAGTCATTTAGGTACTTTCATAGGATTGACAGAAAGACTGAGGAAAGCACGGAGAACACATAAAAAAACTTGAGAAGAACTCAGGAAAACACTATAACAACAAGTAGACAAAATAAATGCAAATTTTAAAACAATACAAACCCTGCAATTAGAAATCCAGAAGTTTAATACTAAGATTTCAGAAATGAACAATACATCAAAAGGGCAAAGGAGTTGATGTGAAGCAATGGAAGCCCGAATTAGTGAGCTTGAAGAGAAATCTTTTAATACGAGTATGCTAGAAGAACAATCAGAAAAAAATAATGAAAAAAATCTGAATCAAGCCTAAGAGGTATGTGGGACATCATGATGAGGAACAGTTGGCAGGTGATCAGAATTCCGGAACAGGAAAAGACAAGAAAAAAGCACAGAGAAACTTGTCAGTTGTTGGAAGAAAACTTCCCTGACATCGTGAAAGACGAGAAGACAAGCATACAAAAATCTGAATGAACTTAGATCCCAAAAGAAAATCACCAAGACATGTCAGAATCAAATTTTAGAAAATCAAAGACAAGGAAGAAATCCTGAGTGCAACTCAGGAAAAACGAAAAGTTACCTACAAAGGAGAACCAATAAGATTGATGACCTACTCTGTAAACCTGCACTCAATTCACAAGAAAAAGTTAAAAAAAAAAAAAAATCATTCATGGAGGTAGCTAATAGTCTTTAAAAAGACTGGAAAAAAGAAAAGATCAAAGTGGATGTCAAAAGAGACTCTGAAACTTGTTCTTGAATGTAAATAAGCTAAAGCAAGTAGAAGAAATAATGAAGTAAAAAAGTTGCACAGAAATTTTCAAAGGGCAGCTCAAGAATTCATAGTATTATAATGAAATGTTTAAAGATCTGGAGTTAGAAAACCAAAAGGGAAGAACACGCTCAGCGATTCTCAAGCTGAAAGAACGGAAGAAATGTTGAAGCTTCAGGTTGCACTCCTGAAGGATTCAATGAGCAAATGGAATGTGGTGGCTCTGTAGGTTAAGCACTGGCCTGGGACCCACAAGACTGCTGGTTGGAGTTGCTCCATAGCAAAAAGATGAGGTTTTCTGCTCCTGCAAATTACAGCCTGGGCAATCCTATACAGGGTCACTATGAGTTGGAACCGACTCAATGGCACTTTACCACCACCACAAAACACGACCCATATATAATGCAGGAAACTTCAAAAGAAGATGCACACAGACTTGCTGCAACAAAAATAATTGACCGAGGTTCAACCATTTCAAGAGCTACTGTATTACCAAGAACCTGTCATATTAAGGAAAGAGGCATCAGCAAAAAACCATGCTTAAGGAATTGATGAAATACCAATTGAAATTTTTCAACAAACTGATGCCGTGCTGGAGACACTCACTCATCTATGCCAAGAAATTTGGCCAACTGATTGGAAGATATCTATATTTGTGCCCATTCCAAAAAAAAAAAAAAAGGCAGTCTAACTGAATTCAGAAATGATCTAATAATATCATATTAAAGTAAATTTTTACTGAATATCATTTAAAAGCCAGTTGCAGTACATTGACAGGGAGCTGCCAGAAACTCAAGCCAGATTCAGAACAGGATGTGGAATGATGGAGATTATTGCTGACATCAGATGGATCTTGGCTAAAAGCAAAGATTACCAGAAAGATGTCTACTTTTGCTTTATTGGCTATGCAAAAAATTCGACTGTGTGGATTTAACAAACTATGGACATTTGGGAAGAATGGAGATTTTAGAATATTGACTTGTGTTCATGAAGAACCTGTACATAGAACAAGAGACCGTCGTTCGAACAGAACAAGGGTATAATGAATGGTTTAAAATTAGGAAAGGTTTGTGTCAGAGTTGTATCCTTTCACCATACTTATTCAATCTGAATGCTGAGCAAATAAACCGAGAAACTAGATTATATGAAGAAGGTAGCATCAGGATTGGAGGAAGATTCATTAACAACCTGTGATATGCAAATGACACAACTTTGATTGCTGGAAGCAAAGAGGACTTGAAGTATTTACTAATGATGATCTAAGATGACAACCTTCAGTATGGATCTCAATATAAAGAAAACAAAAATCCTCACAACTGGACTAATATAAAACAACATGATAAATGGAGGAGACTTAAGTTGTCAAAGACTTTGGTTTGCTTGAATCCATAGTCAGTGTGCATAGAAGCAGCAGCCAAGAAATCAAACGATGCATTGCATTAGGCAAATCTGCTGCACAAGACCTCTTTAAAGTGTTGGATAGCAAAGATGTCAGTTTGAGATCTAAGGTGCGCCTGACCCAAGCCATGGTATTTTCAATAACCTCATATGCTTATGAAAGTTGGACAGTGAGTAAGGAGGACCAGAGAAGAATTGATGTATTTGAGTCATGGTGTTGGAAGAGAATCTTGAAAGTACCATGGACTGCCAAAAGAACAAACAGATTCCTGTTGGAAGAAGTACAGCCAGAATGTTCCTTGGAGGCCAGAATGGCCAGACTTCGTCTCTCATACTTCGGACATGTTGTCAGGAGGGACCAATCACTGGAGAAGGATGTCATGTTTGGTGAAGTGGATGGTGGGAGAAAACGAGAAAGATCCCCAACTAGATGGACTGGCAGAGTGTCAGCAGCAACGGGCTAACACGTAGTGATGATTGTGAGGTGGACCAGGCAGTGTTTTGTTCAGTTGTGCAAAAGGTTGCTATGAGTTGGTACCGACTCGATGGCACCTAACAGCAACATTCACTGTAGGGTCACAGGTCTTCAGGCTACCCATCCGTAGGCACTCTTGGCAGCAACCAAGGCGTGCAAGTGAATTTGTAGGTTACCTAGACACACATGCAAACTATCCTTTATATATTTACTCATCTCCTACCATGGTGCCTGGCACAGAGAGCATGCCTTGAAGATTGTTGAGTAAATGTTCGAGTAAAGAGTGATAAGTATGAAAGCCGCTGAGATGATCCCAAGTCTCATAGTCTCTGTGGTTTCCACAACACGAAGTCCGGGGTTCCAAAGAACCAGAGACGTCCTGGCCACGGTGGCCCTGGGGCCTCCTGCGGGCTCGGCTCAGTCTGGAAAGTCAGCTGGAATTGGCGGAGAGCATAGCGTCACCACTGGTCCTCCAGGCTTCTCTCCGCACCTGCTGGCAGCGGACGGGATACGTGGAAGCTGACCTTGCCCTGGACCAGAGGTTGCCGGCCCAGCCTAGCAGCGCACGGTCCTCCGCGATCCCATCCATCCTTGCGTCCCGAGCCCATCTATGCCACCGCGCCGCCTCTCTATGATCCACTGCCGCTTGCAGAGCGGGTGTCATGGCGGCCGGCGTCGAGTTGGCAGGAGTTGCCCACGGATCTGGGGGAAGTCACTAAAACAGAGGCAGAGGGCCCAAGCCGGATGGTAGGAAATTGTGAGGATGATCTGAAGCCCCGCGGGAGTGGCTGTGTCACTGGAGGCAGACCCGTGGTAAAGCCCCAGCCAGGCCTTAGAATTTCTAGCGTTGGGTGCCGTTGGTGGGTGTCCCCCGAAGCCGGCGTTGCCTAAGGAACCCTCACTGTGTGGTCGAATCCTGAGTGTTCTGTTTCGGATTAATCTCGTGAAGGTGCCGGCGCGAGGACACTTGGCGGGGCTCGTCGGACAACGCTGGACGCTTTTCTCGGGGTGACCAGGTCCTGCTTGATCCGTCGCGATGTCTTCCTGGCTTGGCGGCCTCGGCTCTGGCTTGGGCCAGTCCTTGGGTCAAGTGGGGGGCAGCTTGGCTTCCATCACTGGCCAGATTTCAAACTTTACAAAGGACATGCTGATGGAGGACACGGAGGAATTGGAAGGTAACAGCTGGGGCGAAGGGAGGGAGAGTATTTGGAGGACCTTAGCAGCGTCCGTTTGGTATCTCCTTCCATCTGGTAGGAAGAGAGTGCCATCCTGCCTTAATTTCTTGCCTGTCCACCGAATTTCTCTGATGAAGGACACCGGGGACCCAGGGGCAGCGTTCGAGTTCTCCTTTTGCGATCTCTGGATTTCCCTTAAGAGTGGAAACTCCTCCAACGTACAGTTTAGTTTGTTTTCGTTCGTTTCTTCCACGCCCCCCACTTACTTGAGGGCGGATCTGATTTGGAGTGGTTTTTATACTGGCCCATTTAAAAAAAGTTATTTGTCGATGACAAATTTGTTTCTTTCTGTTTTTGAGTCCTGGAGTGGCTTAATGCACCAGACTGCAAAGCCGTTTGAACTGCAAGGTCGGCGGTTCAAGCTCACCAGTCACTTCTCAGAAACCCTATACAGGGTCGCTGTGGGTCGGAACCGACTCGACGGCACTTAACAACAACAATAATTTTTGTACCCATTGAAGTGTAAGTCATAAATGAAAACATTGCGCGAATTTTGTGTTTTCTGATTGGAGTGTATTAATTTGTTCGTGAAACATGGTTGTGTTTTCCCCATTCGATTTTTTCTTATTTTTCTTTTTTAGACTGCTGACACATTGCAGAATTTCTGCTGAAAATGTATTTCCCTCCGTGTCGAACATGGATGAAGTCGCTATTCTATGGGTGTCTTTAAAACCTCCCATTTTTGAAGACCTCATCTGGTTTTACTAATGAATAGTGACCCAGAGTTACACAGTTGTTGTTGTTAGGTTGTTGTTGTTAGTCGGTGGTTAATTACTGTTCTGATGTCATGACCAGCGAGTACTGTTTAGATCAAATGAGTTCTTTAATTTCAATCTGGGTCTCCTTCCTTATAAATTAATAAATTAGCATGCTGCTGTCGATTTTGTATCATGATGTAAGCTAACCTTGGGGTTTATTTGATTGAACTAGAGATGGTTTGATAGTGTTTACATTTAGCCTCCGAATTTCTCTAGGGTCTCTTTAGGAGGAAGGAAGACTGGGTAGCTGCTGAAAATCCAGGTCACTTGGTTGGACTTTTCTACTGGGTGACAAGAGCCTGGGTTTCTTCCTGTGTCTAGGGAAGGGTCCTGTCACCTTGAAGGGTAGTCAGAAGGTGAGAAGAGCTGGAAGGATGAGGAATGGCTCTTTTCCCCTTGTGTCCTGTTGGCTGCTCCTTTGACCTTAAGCCAGAAAGTGTGTATCCCCCCAGCCTGGTGACCTGACAGCTAAAGGTGACCTGACAGCTAAATTTTGTTCTACCCACCAAATGTGTGCCTGTGCTTTAATCTTCGTAAATGGTTTCACTGTCTACCCAAACTCCTAAACTAGAATTCTTGGAATTTTCTTCTCCTACTTCCAACTGATCAGCAAATCTTGTTCACCATATGCCAGAATTGTTTCTTATATTGGCCTTTTTTACTTCTTCTTTCTTTGTTTTAGGTCCTCATTCTTTCATATCCTATTACCTGTTGCTCCCGATTCCTGTCCATTTTCTGTGGTAGTACCTATTTTCTAAAAACAAAGTTGCTTTCAAACCTCTTGACTGCTACTAATAGCATAGAATCCGCCCCTGTTAGTTTTGGGATGCCAGGGACCTTTCCTTAGTGGCTAGCTTCAGCCTTCCTTGGGGCCTCAGCTCTCCTTCCTCCCCTTCGCTCTCTGACTACACCTGTGCACGGTCATGTGCCCCTGCACACTTGCCCCCAGAGCTCCTGCCACTGGACCTTGTCATGTACCTTCACAACTGCATGTCCCTGCATGGGAAGCCCTCTCTTCTCCACTGTCCTTTGCGTGGCAAACTGTTTTTCTGTACAACTCCGCTGGCATGTCAGGTACTGGGTGAAACCATTCTCATTCCCACAGCAGGCTGAGCCGATGGCAGCAGATCTGTGTTCCTGCCGAACTTTCTATCTTTCTCCCAGTATATTCTGTGTGGCATTGTGATTTGCCTCTCCTTGATGCTCAGGAAGGGACTGTATTTGATTTGCCTCTATATTACCAGTATGTGTCTTCTTTCTTGGTACCTAGGAGATGCTCAGTAAACATCATTTTACTGAGTGATTAAAACCCTGCCCAGATACATAATACTTTCCCTTTTTTTTTTAAAAGCAGTTTGTTTAATACTTAACTGGTTTTGTAAATTACTTAAAGGTCACATCAGAATAGAGTTTATTAATTTAACAGGTATTTATTGTCTGCCCTCAACCTTGGGAGCACAGTGGCTCTAGATGATAAGCACTAGACTAGATTCTCAATTTGAGCCCACCAGCCCTCCACAGAAGAAAGATGAGACTTGCTTTTGTGAAGATTTAAGCCTTAAAAACTCTATACAGGGTCGCCATGAGTAGAATTGACTCCACAGCACTTAGCAACAACTTAACAACCTTGAAGAAGCAGAGATGAGAAGATAGTTCCCAAGTAACCAGGCTGCTACACCTTGAAAATCACCCGTGTTTACAGTATTAGAAGGTTGCTGCTCTACCAAACATCATCCAACCCCCTTGTCATCAAGTCAGTTCTAACTCATGGTCTGTCTGTCACCGTGGAGGACCGGGAAGAACTGCCCCGTAGGCTTTACGAGGCTGTACCTTTATGGAAGCTGACTGGTGGGTTCAGAACACCGATCACGTGGTTAGAAGCCGAGCACTTAACCACTGTGCTACCAAGGCTCCTTCTCCCAACACAGTACTCATTTATTCAAGGCTAGGAGGTTGGGCTTTTAGGTCAGATAGAAATGGACTGAAATCCCACTTCTATGCCTTACAAACTGTGGGATCTTTGGCAAATGATGAAATACTTCTAAAAACAGTTTCTTCATCTGTCAAATAGGGATATTCTTACCTGTTGGGGGCTGTGGGGAGGCCTGGTGTGGTGCTGTAGGATAAGCACTGGATTGATAACCACAAGGTTAGCAGTGCAAACCAACTCCTTGAAAACTATATACCAGATCACTATGAGTCAGAGGAATCCTGGTGTGGTGCTGCAGGATAATGCACTGGACCAAAAGGTCAGTTTGGTCCAGAAGGTTGGTGGTTCAAACCCACCAGCTGCTTCTCAGAAACCCTACATATATAGGGTCACTATGAGTCGGAACCGACGTAGGTACTTAACAACTACAACGAGTCAGAACTGACTCAGTCGCACTTAACAACAATGTGGGGCTGTAGGGGCTAAGTGAGACCATGTGGTTGTAAAATTTTGCCTTGCCAATAGAAGTATTATTACACAGTAGCGGTTCTGTTTTCTTCATTAAGAAATTAAGAGTTTTTTTGTCTACTTAACATCTCCCCTTTACTTTTCTTTGAAACAGTTGCTACTTCTAGCAGTTACCTTCCCAAATAAATTAGGTTATACTTCACCCTCACCACAGTAACAATTCGACAGTTCTTTCAGAGTTTGCACATCCAGCAAGATGTATGAACGACCACAGAAGCATTTCCACCTGGTGATTTTCAAAACCAAAAAGAGTGGGTTTGTTGCTGTTCTTGATTGGATGCCATTTGTATTGTTATTTTAGTTAAACTATAATCCAGATAAGTTCTTTTTTTTATAATATTAAAGTGAGAATTATGAAAAATGCATATACCTAGAAAAAATCTAATTCTGCAGCATAATGATTGTCAGACCACATGGAGAGTGTCGCTTTGGCACTGAGCTCCTTCCCATTTTTAACATATTGTATTTATGCTGCTTCATATAAATGTTCTTTAGTCCATTTTCATTCTTTGTTTATAGGTCATTAATTATTTGATAGTCATGGGAGCAGACGAAGTTAGGAATAAGACCTTACGGCCTTATTGATGAGCATGTCTCCTCTAAAGCTATAACGTAAGCCAACAGAGAGATAATCAGTTGGTAAAACTTTTACTCAACACAATTTTCATGAACATTTCTGCGTGGTAACTTACACTAGAAGTCCTCAGGGATAGGAGCTAAGCATAAAGGCAATCGTATGTGACAAGGGAGCGCATCAGTGACTGTAGGGAATTGGGAATCAAGTGCTGTCCTTGGAATTGGCGGTCTGGTCAGCATGCCAGTGAAATCTAGTTTCCTTAAAATGCCTGCTTGTTTCTTCATATGCTGTTGATCAAATATTTAGTCTATGCTGTTTCTTTCATAGCAGAATTACCTAACTCTAGGAGAAAGGACATCGAAGCCATTCACGCAATCTTAAGATCAGAGGTAAGGAAAACTAAAAAGTACTATCAAAGTGAGAGTTTTGTATTTTGAGTCCATGAAAGTTCTTCAGACCTGATGTTAGTCCAGTCTTTTAGAAATGAACTAATGAACAGTTTTTATCTCACTTTTTATTGTTGTTGTACTTTTTATCAGGCTATCTTAGGTAAAGAATACAAGGCAGACTTCAGAAAGCTCATGGAACAATTCCATTATGCTTTAATTTCATTTTTCCATGACTTTTTTGAAGTCCTCATATATTTGCCTGTTACTGCAGTTTGCTATTCCCATCTCTGTTTTTGTATGCTGGAAATAGGCAAACTGCCAATTATGGCTCTAATAATGACAACTATAATTATCAAGGAATGCTTCTGTCCGCATTGGACTAAATTATAGTAGTCCATTAATTAGGTATGGCGTGAAGAATCCAGTTCTGTTTAATCTTGAACTTTATAATCCTTTAGCATTATTTTTAAAAAAGTGATGTTTGGCTGCCTAGAAGCTAAGATTATAGTATAGGAATCACAACTTTACCGTTTTATTCATCAGTCATTGCCTGGTAAGTAGTGCTGGAAACTGTACTTCATAGGGATGAAGACAACTTGGAAAGGGCTCGAAGGAGAGCCATCAAGGAAAGGAGCAGACTTAAGAGTGGAATCTACTGGCAAAGGACTGAAGAAACCTCAGCTCTTTAGCCTTGGGATAAGAACAGCGAGGAATGCGTAACGATCATAGTTTAGCCAAATATATATTGTGGGGCTGTGATAAGCAAGTTTTCTTCTCTACAGAGCATAAAAAGAGAAAATGGAACTCGCATATAAGCAGATTTACTAGCAGTGAGCATTGTTAAACTCTGGTCTAGATTGCCACAGGGTGAATGTACAAGTAGAGGGAGCTCTCAGGAGGAGCACTTAGAGGCCTTAGCCCTAATTACCTAGTAAGTAAGTAGGTGCTCTAAAGAGAGAGGGATGTAAGGCTGAAATGGGAAATCTTCCTAAAGAATTCCATGAGAAATCGCACGCTAGGCCAGCCGCAGCCCCCACTGAAGCATTACATGGCAGAGGTGTGTATAGTAGCTGGCGTACACCTAGGTGAATTCACCTGTATACATTTGGAGGAAACAAAGAATCAAGTAATCTGCTCAATGAATGTCTGCTTGACATTCAGCTTGAGAAAGCAGATAGACATCTGCTTACTCTCTGTTGATCTCAGTTATTCTAATGTGTCTCAGAGTATTATCATTGAACTATGGCAAGTAGTTTGTCAGGAGGGACCAATCCCTGGAGAAGGAGATCATCTTTGGTGAAGTGGAGGGTCAGAGAAAATGAGGAAGACTCCCAGCGAGATGGATTGACACAGTGGCAGCAGCAGTGGGCTCAGGTAGTGATGATTGTGAGGTTGGCCCAGGACTGAGCTGTGTTTTGTTCTGTTGTGCATAGGGTCACTATGAATTGGTACCAACTCGATGGTACCTAACAACAACAACATGGCAAGTAGGATTCTAGTATTTAGAAGTATTTGTTTTTGGTATATCACATTCCTAAATGCAAGCCAAGTCTTCATTTGGTGCTTAATCAAAGTAGCATGACCTATTCAAATGCTAGAGGAAACCGACTGTTGGGCTGTTGGACTTCCTACGGACATGTTTCCTAAGGTCACCGTAACTGTGCCTGATTCTTGCCTCTTGTGCTGACTTCGCATGCTAACCCTTTCTATGACTAGGTTAGCCCTACTCGGGACCCCTGCTGGAAGAGAATAAGGTGAAATATGATCAAAGCCACTAGCCAACTTTCAATAAAAATACCCTGTTTAGAACATTTTAGTATTGACAGTGTGTTTTTCAGAGGAAATTAGATTTACTTATAGATGCTAATATTTGTAGGTGACTGAATTAGTTAAGATTCTTTGGTTGTAAGTAACAGCAACCAATTTATAAGTTAACTTAGTCTTCTGTATATAAATAGTTATCAAGTTTACCATCTAGGTCCAATGGACTCTTAATTTTTCTAAATATTTTAAGTCATTTCACAAATAATTGACAGAATAAAGAATAAAATAATGATAAAATGATAGTGAAGACAACTTGACTAGACATTTTAATAAGAATTTTAGTACAGTAAACCCAAATTTGTATTACATATTTTTCAGATTTTGAAGGCTTAGTTTCTCAAAATGAGCAGTGTTCTTTGAATGCAGTTACCTGCTCATTAACTCCTGAGCATGAACTTGAGCATATTTAATCTTGTAAATGCTGATTCCGGATTTCAGTTACCTCTCTGATAGATTTTACTTTATCATTATTTCTGGTTCTTCTGACTGATATTATCAAAGCCAGTACTTTTGAAAACTTATGGCTCATAACTTTGTTGAAGAGCCAATGACTGTCTTCTCTGCTCTATGATTGCAAGGCAGTTTTATTCTTAGATTTTATTCTTAGATTCTAATTTAATGTGAATTAGAATGTTCAGTCCACTGGAAGTGTTTTCATTCTTATGTCGTACGTTTCCTTCCAGTCACCTTTGTGTACATGCCTGCTTTCAGCGCTTGTCTATGTTAGATAAATAGTGCTGTACCAATAGTGTATATTATGAAAGAGCACTGTCGTATGTCCTCTTAGTGAAATAGAATGGTTCAGATCCTTGTCACAAAATGTTGTTGTTAGGTACCATTGAGTTGGTACTGACTCATAGTGACCCTATGCACAACAGAACAAAACACTGCCCGGTCCTGGGCCAACCTCACAATTGTTGCCACGCTTGAGCCCATTGATGCTGCCACTTTGCCAGTCTATCTCGCTGAGGGTCTTCCTCTTACCAAACATGATATCCTTCTCCAGCGACTGGTCCCTCCTGACAATATGTCCGAAGTATGAGAGACGAAGTTTGGCCATCCTGGCCTCCAAGAACACTCTGGTTGTACTTCCAACACAGATCTGTTTGTTCTTTTGGCAGCCCATGGCACTTTCAGTATTCTCCTCCAACACCATAACTCAAAAGCATCAATTCTTCTACAGTCTTCCTTCCTCATTGTTCAGCTTTTGCAATGTCGCAGAACACTGCAGGATGAGATCTTATCCTGTTGGATGACTAACTTGATGGGAAGACTATTCTTCCATTTTATTTTTAGAAATGCAATTGAAAAGTGTGTGGAAAAATGGAATTTTTTTTTTAGTTCATGTCTTTTATTAATTCATACACCATTACTTGTCTTCTGGTTTGTTGAAGCAATAGGTCAGACAACACTTGCCGCAGTATGTCTACCAAAATGGCTGGCCATCAAAACTGCAGCACCACATTCATCTGAAGGACACTCCCGACGAAGGCGACTAATTTTGCCGTTCTTGTCCACTTTGTAGTTATTTTAGGACAGCCAGCTTAACCTTCTTCCTTTTATGCCTATTCTTGGGAGTAGTGTAAGACTTCTTCTTCCTTTTCTTAGCACCACCACGAAGTCTTAACATAAGATGAAGAGTGGACTCCTTTTGAATGTTGTAATTAGACAAGGTGCGTTCATCGTCCAGTTGCAAGCCAGCAAAAATCAGTCTCTGCTGATCAGGAGGGATTCCTTCCTTATTCTGGAACTTGGCCTTTACATTTTCTATCGTATTCAAGGGTTCAACCTCGAAAGTGATGGTCTTCCCCGTTAGAGTTTTTACTAAAATCTGCATCTTGGCGGTGGTTCCACCGCAAATGGTGGATCCAAAAGAAAAATGGAATTTTAAAAAGAAGAAATTTTTCCACAAACTTTTTGAAGCTCCTTCAGACTTTGTTATAGCATCGACTGTTGAATTGAGAAGATTCATCCATTTTCATTTGAAGACAGTTCTGAGAGTTTTCTCTGGCAGTCATTTTCACCATAATCTAGACTCAAAAGAGTGCTTCTCTGTCTCTTTGCATTCCTCTAATTTGTCAGATACTAGTGAAATGTATTTTCTGTTTTCTTTTCTTGGTTGAAAATGAAAATTTTGAATTCAGCCATGTTCAATGAAGGCTACATAAAAGAGTACAAAGATGCCTCTAGACTGCTTTGGACTTTTTGTGGAATGAGCCGAGTGCTACAGTATTTTGGGCAATGCAGGAAGACAGCAGGCTGCTTTACTATTGTGTCATCTTTTCACGTGATTCCTCAGGCTTCTGTTTTCCTATTATTGTATTCTCCACCCCACTCCTCCAGTTACCTCTGGGTCAGTTCAAACTTACAGTGTCCTCATGTGTGTTAGAGGAGAGCTGCGCTCCATGAGCTTTTCAATGACATCCCCAGGCCTGTCTTCTGAGGCACCCCAAAATGGACTGGAACCTCCATCTATATGATTGGCAGCAAAAAGATAGAGGAAAATAAGATCACTTGGGCCCCATGATTATTCTTATAAAGATTTATACAAGGGGCCAATTGACCCTTATGGTACTTGCATCTAGAATTCGTGTTAATCTGTTAAAATAAGTACATTTTTTCTTTGCACATTGGAGGGCCTCTAAGAATTAAAGCCATTAATATCAGTCCTTAGGTATAGTTAGAACTGTTCAAATGAGAAACTCACAAATGGAGATTGAGTCCAATGAACCCTGATGGCTTACTGAGGGTGAAGCAGAATGAATTAAGGACATACAAGTGCCTCATGGACTTTAAAAGGGTAGACCTGTGGGCAGACCTTAGGAGGGGTTTGCAGCTAAAACCAGAGGCCACTATTCTTTGATTTCCTCTTCTCACTGCTCGTCTCTCCTTTACACCAACCTCCTTACTCCATCTGGTAGAAAATATGACCATGGACAACTCCTAACATACTTTCTCAAACTTTGTGACTCACATGGTTAAAGAAACTAAATAAGCTAGGTAATTTTTTTGCATGAAGAAGCCTAGAGTGGATTTATCTGAGTGGGCATCAAAACATTCAAGGAAAAACCCCATTGTCTTTTCATTCCATTTTCCTATGAACTTTTTGACGCTCCTTGGGTAACCAGAATTTGACTTCAGTATGTTTTTTTCATGTTAACAGCTCATAGAAAATAATGTAAAGGCAGCCAGTAGGACAGAATATTGCTTCTGTTTCTTATTAATTTGCCTGCAGGGACGACCAAGTTCTATGTTGGGTTTCTGGGAGTAGAGCCTCAAATGAGTGGGCTGTGTAATTTTTTCCTGTAATTTTCTGTGGGAGTTAAAGGAATTAATGTAATCTCCCTGGATTATAGTTTTCATGTATGTTAGCATGAGAAATTCCTAGAATATATGAGAAAAACAGATGACATCTCCAAGGTGAAAGTCTTCACCTTCTTTTGTTCTCAGGCATTGTGTTTATAGATACAGTCATAGAATTCTTACTAAACTTTTACCTTTTACATAGTGTTTCCTGCCCAATTATGTCTTTATATTCACTCAGAGGATAAGGAATTATAAGATGGTTTAAGTATTTCTTACTTCTCCCAGTGGTTTTTCAAACTGAACTCTAGTAAGTGGTTCTCGTAGAGTTTTCAAAGGTGCCCCAAGAAACCTAAGGGAATTTTCAAAGGTGCCCCAAGAAACCTAAGGGGTAGACCAATAGGTAATGGGAGTCTTTAGTCTCTTAACTGTATTTCAACCAAAATGCTTTAAAAAGATTTCCTTGAGAAAGTTTTACTATTTGGGGAGATATAAAAGCTCAGATGTGTAACCTAGTCATTTATTTACCCAACATGCATTGTCTATTACATGCTGGACGCTGGTGGTTCAAAGATGGTGGGGGAACATTGACCTGTGGCTTTTTCTTAGCAGAATGTTAAGCTGAGCAGCATTCTAAGACCTTTCACTTCTTTCAGAATTAGGCATACTCTCTATAAACTTGTTAATTGCATTTGCCAGCTTTAATTGAAAGCATATTTTAAAGAATTCTGACATCTTCTATACATTGATTTTTGTATGGAACAATACATTGTTTTTTCGATTGCTAACATGCTTTACTTTTATTCTTTTTGCTGAAATGCTTTTGTCTTCACTTCTAGAATGAGAGACTTAAAAAAGTTTGTAGTGATTTAGAAGAGAAACACGAAGCATCTGAACTTCAAATAAAGCAGCAATCTACAAGTTACCGAAATCAACTGCAACAGAAAGAGGTAAATGTGATTGCAGTTACTTCTTGTTGATTTCCCCCGTAATACATTTAGGAAGATTTTTAAGAGTTATAGTATAAATCAATTCATGTTTGGATACCAAAAAAATACTGAATAGGTGTTGAATCTCTTAATTCCCAACTCAGCTTGATACTCATTAATTTAACAAGAGCTCTGTAAGCTTTTTTATTAAATTTATATTACTTAAACCTTTGTGGAGTTTACTTTCTATTTTTCAAGAGTAGTTTTCATATAAAATAACTTCAAGTATCTGTTGCTTTATAATTACTGATTTTATGATATATGATTTCTCATATTTTACTTGTTTTAGATCCATGCGAACATTACTAATGACAGCTTTTTTTTTTAAAAAAAGTTGACTACAAGTGTTTTTGTACTGGAGTCCTGGTGTGGCTCTGTAGGATAAGCATTGGACTGCTAACCACAGGTCAACAGTTCAAACCAGACACTCCTTGGAAACCCTATGCAGTCTCTATGAGTAGGAATCGACTTGATGGCACTTAACAAAAGCAACACCATTTTTGTATTAGCATCTACTTGATTTTTTCAGAAAAGCAAATATTGACTGTAATATAGTTGACCTTTACTTTCTAGAAATGCTTCATGTTTGTTTTTTAATCTTTATTTTTATAGAAATGGTTGTTTTGTAATTGACATATCACGATAATATCTATAGTAGATATTTATGTAACTTAACCGTGTTATCATGCTTAATGCTGTTGTTGAATTCTCTTTAGTCTTCAGTTTATAAGTGGAGTTCCATAAATAATACATTGAGTTGAACCATTTCCTTTTTTATTATCCAGGTAGTGTGAGAGCTCTTCTGTTTATTGATTAAATGTTCTGCCGTAATTTGGGTTTTTGACGTTCAGATGCTTGATCTCTGTTTCCTTTAGTGACTTACTAAAGTGAACGATCTCAGTAACCACATTACGTATAAACATTTGACGTACGTAGTGCTCTCACACCATCTGTAGTCAAGGACCAGTTTTGTTTTCTTTTAACATTTCAATCTGGTGGGGGTTGGTACTTTCATAAAACGTAAAAAAAATGAGTTCCTATAAAGATAAAGTTACAAGCTCACTTTTTTCTTTTAATAAAGAGCCAACAGATTTAAAAAAATCACTCTGCTGAATTGCCTTGTTGCTGTTGTTGTAAAGTGCCTTCAAGTTGCTTCTGACTCACAGCGACCCTGTGTAGGGTTTCCAAGCAGTGGCTGGTGAGATTGAACTGCCAACCTTGCCATTAGCAGTTCGGAGCTTAATCTACAGTGCCACACTAGGTCAAATTGTTTTGTTATTGTTGTTGTTAAGTGTCGTCAAGTTGATTCTGACTCATAGCGATCCTGTATAGGGTTTTCAAAGAGTGGCTGGTGAGTTTGAACCATCAGCCTTCAGTTAGCAGTCCATTGCTTACCCTGTAGTGTCACACCAGTGCTCCCAGATTGCTTTAGAGGTCTTTGAACTGAACTTTTTCTTGTCATGGACAATGGTAACACACAAAGATGGCATTAGTCCCCCAACCACACTTGAGTAACGGTGACTTAGAGGCTAGTATGATAGATCAATAGTTTCTAACCAGGGACTGTACCAGAATTCTAAGGGACACTTTTAAAAAATATTCATGCTTGTATCTCCAGGAGCTTCTGATCTAGTATATTGGGAAGGGACCCTGTTATCCGAGTGTTTGAAGAGCTCCATAGATGATTCTGAGATTTGTCCCTCACTTTGGCATTTTGTTTTCTTCATAACTATTGTCAATAAGCAGTTAAGCTTTAGAAATGCCTCTTTGTTACTAGAATTTGCACCTGTGTAGCAGGATAGTTTGATGTAAAATGTTTATTGTATAAAGAACTTTCTTTGCATTGTATAACTATATTTGAAAGAAATGTGTATTTCAGTACTCTTTACTAGTATGAAAGCTCATATATGACTATACATTGTTGTTGTTGAGTGCTGTCAAGTCAGATCCGACCCATAGTGACCAGGTATAGGGTTTCTGAGGAGGAGCAGCTGGTGAGCTTGAACTGCCAACCTTGCAGTTCAAACTGACTTTGCAGTCCAGTGCATTAACCCAATAGCGCCACACCAGGACTCCTGAGTATACATTAGACCTGTTGTTTTCTAGATAAATTTGTTGCCCTCATTGTAATGTTGATATTCCCCCAATGATGTAATTTTTCACATGTTATTTGTGATACATTGAGTGAGACTGATGTACACTACTGTGATCCTCAAGAACTGGTCTGTCAGTTTGTAGTACTGACATTGCATGTTGCTCTGGTGCTGGAAACTATGACATCGGTATTGAAATGCCAGCAGGATGTAGTGGTTACAAATTGGGCTGCGAACCACAAGGTTAGAAGTTCGAAGCTTTCTGCTCTAGTAACGATTTACAGCCTTGGAAACCCTGTACAGGGTCGCTATGAGTTGGAACCGACTCCAACGCACATAACCACCACCACCAGGGTCACCCATGATCAGTAAGTTTCAGCAGAGATTTCAGACTTAAGACAGATTTGTTGTTGTAAGTGCCATTGAGTCAGTTTTGACTCATAGTGACTCCATATATGACTTACAAGGAGCAGCTGGTGGGTTTGAACTGCCAAACTTGTGGCTCGCAGTGTAATGTGTAGCCTATAGCGCCATACCGGGTGTCTAAAACAGACTAGGAAGAAGGAAAGGCAGAGTCCTTCTAAAATGTTAGCCACTAAAAAAATCTTATGAACATCTTCTTACATAGTGTCAGAAGATGAGCCCCTCAGGCTGGAAGACATTCAGAACACGATTGCTGCCTCCTCAAAGTAGCATTGACCTTAATGATGTGAATGGAGCAAAGCGTTTGGGACTTTGATTTGCTGGTGGGACATAACTCAAAATAAGAAACAGTTGCAATCATCAATAATCAGAACATATAATATATGAAGGATAAATCTAGAATAATTGGCAGTCATCAGAAATGAAATGGAATGTACAGAGATCGATATCCTAGTTATTAATGAACTGAAGTAGACGATATTGACCATTTTGAATTGGGAACAACAGATAGAAGAGGAATGATGTCACCTTCATAGACAAAAGAAGCATTTCAAGATCAGTCTTGTTATACAGTGCTGTCTGCTATAGGATAAAATCCATACATCTACAATGAAGATGAGGTAATAAGACTATTTAAACTTATGCTCCAACCACTAAAGCCAATGATCAAAAATTGAAAACTGCTACACTCTGAAATTGATCGAATTAGCTATCAAGATGCATTGATCATTACTGGTGTTTGAAATGGGAAAAAATAGGAAAGATTAGTAGGTGGGAAATGTGACTTTGGTGATAGAAATGATGCTGGAAATCACATGATAGAATTTTGCAAAACCATTTCAGTTCATTAATAACTAGGATATCGATCTCAGGACTGCCAATTATTCATTTCAAATACCTCTTCTCAACCACATTACAAACACATGGACCTCATCAGGAGGAATACCCAGAAATCACACTGACTACATCTGTGGGAAGAGAAGCTCAATATCATCCAAAACAAGGCCAGGGACTGACTGTAAATATACTATCAATTACTCATATGCAGGTTCAGGCTGAAGCGGAAGAAAATCAAAATAAGTCCACGAGACCTTCAATGTGTCCTACCTGAATGTAGACAAGAGCAGGCCTCAAGAGCAGATCTAGATCATTAGGTACTAATAACCAAAGACCAGAAGAGTTGTGGGATGTCATTAAGACCATTACACAGAAAGAAAGCAAAAGGTCATTAAAAAGAAAGGAAAGAAAGAAAACACCAAAATTGATGTCTGAAGAGACTCTGAAACTTGCTCTTGAGCATAGAGAAGCTAAAGCAATGGGAAGAAATGAGCTAAACAAACTATTTCAAAGAGCAATTTGAGAAGACAAAGTATATGATGAAACGTGCAAAGTCCTGGAGCTAGAAAACCAAAAGGGAAAACACACTTGGCCTTTCTAAAGGTGAACGAATTGAAGAGAAAATTCAAACCTTGGGTTGCAATATTGAAGGAGTCTGTTGAAGGGATTCGGAGTCCTGGTGTGGTGCTGCAGGTTAATGCGCTGGACTGCAAAGTTGGCTTGAACCACAAGGTCGGTGGTTCAAGCTCATCAGCTGCTCCTTGGAAACCCTATACAGGGTCGCTTTGAGTTGGAACTGACTCAGTGGCATAAAATAAGGACGACAACAACAATTAAAGGATTCTGTAGCCTCATATGCATGTGAAAGTTGGACAGTGAATAAAGAAGACCATAGAAGAATTGATGCATTTGAGTTATGGTGTTGGAGAAGAATATTTAAGGTACCATGGACTACTGTTTGTTGTTGTTGTTATGTGCCATCGAGTCGGTTCCGACCCATAGTGACCCTGTATAGGGTTTCCGAGGGTGTAAATCTTTACGGGAGTAGAAAGCCTCATCTTTCTCCCGCGGAGCGCCTGGTAGTTTCAAACCGCTGACCTTAAGGTTTGCAGCCCGATTCGTAACCACTACGCGACTACTAGAGCAGCAAATAAATCTGTGTTAGAAGAAGTACAACCAGAATGCTCCTTGGCAGCCAAGATGGTGAGATTTCATCTCTTATATTTTCAACATATTATCGGGAGGCACCAGTCCCTGGAGAAGGATATCATACTTGGTAAAGTGGAAGGTCAGCGAAGAAGAGGGAGACCCCCAAACGAGATGGATTGGGCTCAAGCTTAAAAGCAGTTGTGAAGTTGGCGTGGGCCTGGGCAGTGTTTTGTTCTGTTGTACTTAAGGTCACTATGAGTTGGAATCAACTTGCCTAACAAAAATGGGCAAAATGAACTCCTGATGTGCTGAGGAGCAACCCATCCATTGCTCCTGGGAAATCGCTATTAGGTGGAACTAACTTGACACTTAACAACAACAGCAACATGGACAAAGTGTTAAATGATGCAGACAGCATCAAAAGGTGATGGAAGAAATACACAGAGTCATTGTACCAAAAAGAAGTGGTTGATGGTCAGCCATTTCAAGAGGTACCATATCATCAAGAGGTAATGGTACTGAAGGAAGAAGTCCAAACTGCACTGAAAGCGTTGATAAAAAACAAGGCTTCAGGAATTGACAGAATACAAATGGAAATGCTTTATAAAAAAAAAAAGATGCAGTTCTGGAAGCACTCTCTAGTTAGGTTGAGAAATTTGGAAGATAGCTGCATGCCCATTCTTAAAAGAGGTGACCCAGTGGAATGCGGAAATCATTGGACAAGATCATTAATATTGCAAGCAAGTAGAATTTTGCTGAAGATAACTATAAAATGGCTGCAGCAGTACATTGACTTGTAGCTGCCAGAAATTCAAGCTGGATTCAGAAGAGGATGTGCAATGAGGAATATCTTTCCTGATGTCACATGGAGCTGGGCTGGGTTAAAATGAGAGAATTCCAGACAGATGTTTCCTTGTGCTTTATTGACTAGCAAAGGCATTCCACTGTGTGGATCATGACAGCGTATGGACTACACTGCAGAGAACGGGACCTCGAGAACACTTCACTGTGCTCATGAGAAGAAGCCTGTGCTGAGACCAAGTGGCAGTCATATGAACAAAACAAGGGAATGGTGGATGGCTTAATATCAGAAACGAGATGGCACTAAGAGGACTAATGTGTGCCTGATCCGTTCCGTGGTATTTTTATTTCCTTGTATGTGTGTAAAAACTGGACCATGAATAAGGAAGACTGTAGAAGGATCAATGCATTTTAATTATGGTATTGGCAAAAATTATTGAAATTACCATGGTCTGACAGAAAAAAAACGTATCTGTCTTAGAAGTACAGCCAGAATGCTCCTTTGAAGCCAGGATGGTGAGACTTTGACTCTTGTACTTAGGACATGTTGTCAGAAGGACCATTGGAGAAGGACATCAGTCTTGGTAAAATGGTGAGTCAGCAAAAAGAGGAAGCCCCTGGATGAGATGGATTGACACGGTGGCAGCAACAGTGGGCTGAAGCATAATAATTGTGAGGCTGGCGCAGGACTGGGCCGTGTTTCTGTCTTTAGTGAATAAGGTTGGAGTTGGAGCCGACTTGAAGGCACCCAACCCCAATAGCAACTGTAAACCATATAGGAAAACCCTGATTGTTATGACATTAATGTGTTTCGTTTTTACCTAATTGACTTTATAGATGAAGAAATACTATGACTTGTTGGCGCTCTCCTCAAGTTTCCTCGAATTTTCTTGAGTTGTGACAGTGTATTCTGGATTTGTTTAGTACAGGTCAGGTCTCTCTAGTTTACTCACTTTTATGTTTTGAGCCTTCTTTCACTAGGAATGGATGAGGTGGTTGGTTGGTCCTTTGTTCATAGCTTCTTTTGATCCAGAGCATGGAGTTGCCAATCTCCTGTCTCCATTGTGTTCAGGGTCTGTATTGTTTTCTCAGTGTGAGTAGGGTCAGACTTGTTGTTGTTGTTAGGTACTGTGGAGTCGGTTCTGACTTACAGCGACCCTGTACAGGCTTTCCGAGGCTGTAAATCTTTATGGGAGCAGAAAGCCTCATCTTTCTCCTGCGGAACAGCTGGTAGTTTTGAACTGCTGAATTTGCAGTTCATAGCTCGATTCGTAACCACGACGCTGAAGGCCTGATTTTCTCCTAAGACTAACAGCAGATTAGTAGCTGTAGACTTGCTTGGCCAACTTATTATCAAAAGATTGGATCAATAATAAGAGCATTCTTTCAGCATGCTATGCAGACTAGTACAAAGTTGCCTCTGATTCATGTTGTATTTTAAGCCTAAATCCAATCATAATCAGTTACATAGCCCCTTCTGGGAGCTCGCTGACTCTTTTGGGTAAGCACTGGATTGTGAACCAGAAGGGTAGCGTTCAAACCCACCAGCTTCTCTGCAGGAGGTAGATGAGAGGCTGTCTGCTCCCATAGAGATTTGGAAGAAAAAAAAAAGCTGAGTCAGAACTGGCTTGATGGTACTTAACAAGATGAGAATCACAGAGTCCCAACAAATTGCCTTTACTCCCCCATGTTGTTGTTATTGTTAAGTGCTGTTGAGTTGGTTCTGACTCCTAGAGACCCTGTAGAGGTTTTCCGAGGCGTGACTGGCAGGTGTGAACTATCAACCTTGTGGTTAGCAGTCCTGTGCTTATCCTACAGAGCCACATCAGGACTCCATATTACCCAATAGAAGACAGAAAACACATACTTAACAGAGAGACTGTTCTTTTGTTTTGGTTTGCATATGAATGGAATTCTGGTCTCCATACTATTTGAAACATGCTTTAACTCTAGTAATCATGTTTGTGGGTTTTTTTTGTTTTGTTGTTTTAACTGTTTTATTATGAACTATGTGATCGCTTACATGGGAGATCATGTTTGTGTTTTAAATAGACATCTATAGTGGGGATGTTATGGAAGACTTGGATCTTAATTATTATAACAAGATGGTTATTTTAAAATACCTTCTCTAAAATGTGAACTATAAACGTCTAGGTAGAAATCAGCCATCTTAAAGCAAGACAGATAGCGCTACAGGAGGAGCTGCTAAAAGTGCGGTCGGCTGCTCAGTCGGTCCCTTCAGGATCTGGCAGGGCACCACCAACCTCTGCCTCGACGTCCTTTGGCTATGATGTCAGTCACCATGCCTCAACTTTCCATGATGATGACATGGACTTTGGTGATGTAATTTGGTCCCAACAAGAAATAAACAGACTGTCAAATGAAGTCTCCAGACTGGAGTCTGAAGTTAGCCACTGGAGGCATATTGCTCAGGTAGGTACAATTTTCCTGAATTTTCAAAACTGTTGTTAAGTGCCCTTGGTTTGGTTCCAACTCATAGCAACCCTGTATAGTTTCCAAGGAGCAGCTTGTGGGTTTGAAACACTGATCTTGTGGTTAGCAATCCAGTGCTTATCCTACAGCACTACATCAGTAGTTCGAAAACTAGGAGTGAGTAAAAGTACCAATAGTTGCTTTTGGTATCAGAACGCATCCTGGACTAGGAAATGGAAAACCTGTGTTCTGATTCTAAGTGATTCTGTTGTGGTCATCTCAGTCTCCCAGCCTCTGTTTCCCTTCTGTGTAATACAGGCAGACCTCAGAGATGTTGCGGGTTCGGTTCCAGACCACCGCAATAAAGTGAATATCATCATAAGTGAGTTGCATGAAGTTTTTGGTTTTCCAGTGCTTATAAGAGTTGTATTTATGCTGTACTGTAGTCTGTTAAGTATGCAATGACGTCCCGACAAAGTTTGAAATAGTGTGAGAATGACCAGCACACAACAGCACACACTGTTGGAAACCTGGCACTGATGGGCTTGCTCAGTGCAGAGCTGCCACAAAGAAATCACTTGTAAAGAACGGAGCCCAAAGACGGTGCACGGTGAAACCAAGGGATGACTGAATTTGGGAGAAGTTTCAAAACTTATTGTTTTTTTTTTGAAGCAACGGGACTTTTTATTTGTTTCTTAGAATAAAATTAAGTAACAGCCTTAGGATGAAAAGTGATCACCGTGGAGTTGCTCTAGTTGAAACAGTGGCTTTCCCCTCAGGAGTCCCTGTAGCTCCCCTCCTGGAAATACCTGGTTTCCAGGCATCAACTTTGAGCTTGTCCCCTGAGAAGGCGCTGGGGTTCCCAGGAGCTCTAGCACACTCAAAGTGAAACATTGATATTTGCTGTTCTAAAATAAATTCAACCATTCATGATGGGTTTTCATGCTTTAAAAATGTAATTCTTGCTCTCTTGGGCTGTAAACTTCTCTCCTAGGAACGCTTTTTGTCTTCCCAAAAAGACCCATGGGCATTGAGTTGATTCCAATGCACAGTGACCCTCGATAGGGTTTCCGAGACACTCCATCTTTACTGGAACTGACAGCTTCAACGTTCCTCCAAGGAGCAGCTGCTGGGTTTGAACTGCTGGCCTTGTGATTAGCAGCCCAACACTCAACCCACAGCTCCACCAGGGCTCCTTACATACCAAATTATATATAGTATTGAGACCATCGATAGAAGTGAATCCCACAGTGAACTTGAGTGGACATTGTTCACTTGGATATAATAGTATCAGCGGAGAAAAAACAAAGTAAAGATGTTATGAGGAGGCTTCAGAAAGTTCCTGGGGAAATTATTATCTAATTCCATTTTTCCATGACCTTTTTGAAGCACCTGAGTATTTGTTTTGTGACTGTAATCTAGTTTAAAAACCGTAACAACAACAACAAAACCATCCTAATTAAAATTATGGTCTTGCTTCCCAAGTTGCTTGATATTGACAGTACCCCAAATAAATTGTATTTCATTGCCACTGAGTGGGGTCAACAGCCTTTGACTCTAAATCCTGTCCTCTTTCCGTTATGCTGTGTTCCTTTGCCAGCTGTAGGGGAGCTTCTAGTTCATTAGTGCTCTGTAGTCAATGTAGAAGAGCCCTGGTAGTGTAGAGGTTAAGCACTCAGCTACCGTCAGGTCAGCGGTTCGATCCTACCATCTGCTCCATAGGAGAACGCTGTGGCAGTTGACTGCCGTAAAGATTTAAAACCTTTGGAGTCAGTTCTGCGCTGACCTAGTGGGTCACCGTGAGTTAGAATTAGCTTGACAGCGGTGAGTGTGGGTGTTGGTTTATAGTAAATGTTAATAAAGACAGATAAATGAGAAGAGAACCCAAACACTTTACTTCAGTGTCAGATGAAAGGCTTTTTGTTACTGGGATAGAGTCCATTTTACAATTGACCTTTGAGAAAGATGTTAGATTACTATCAAATTGACCTTTTGTTCAGCTAAGTAAAATAGCCTATGGGGTTTTCCTCTCTGGTTATTTTATGAAAATATTATCTTCCCAGTTAATTAATAAACTTTGGAACAGTATCTTTTATTTACTGTCCATTCCTCACCATTGGATTATTGTTAGTTGTTGCTAAGTTGATTTGTGCCATTGAGTTGGTTCTGACTCATAGTGACTCTGTATAGGATTCCCAGGGAGATCCTAGTGACTCTGTTGGATAAACACCGAATTGTGAATAACAGTTTGAGCCCACCAGTCACTGTGTGGGAGAAAGATGAGGCTTTCTGCTCCCTCAAAGATTTATAGCCTTGGAAATGCTATACAGGGTCGCTGTGAGTTGAAACCAGCTTGTTGGCATGTAACAGCAGCAGTAACTGTAGGGTTTCCAAGGAGCAGCTGGTGAATTTGAACCGCCAGCCTTGCAGTTCGCAGTCCAGTGCTTATCCTACAGCACCATACTAGGATTTATTGTTGTTATGTGCTGTGGAGTTGCTTCTGACTCATAGCGACCCTGTACAGGGTTTCCGAGGCTGTAAATCTTTACGGGAGCAGAAAGCCTCATCTTTCTCCCACGGAACAGCTGGTAGTTTCGAACTGCTGACCTTGCAGTTAGCAGCCCGATTCGTAACCCCTACGCTACCAGAGCTCCTTTTTACTAGGATTAGGCTCTTTTAAAAAAAAATGCTTGGCATTATTTAATAGAAGCTGTTGGAGAAATGTTCCTTTTTTGAAAAAATTAGTTGTGACTTCCTAGTTACAAGAAAATCAGTATGATTATTTTCTAATTATTTTTTTTCTTACCTAGACAACAAAAGCCCAAGGAACGAATACCTCTGATCAAAGTGAAATCTGCAAACTGCAAAATACCATCAAGGTGAGGCAGATATTTGAAAAATTGACTATTAGACATCCACAATTTGTTTATTAAAATCATAAGCTTATGTTAGTAAAAGGTTCCGTTACAAAAGTAATTATATTCATTGCATTATTTCTTACTTACTTTTTGTGCATTTTTTTTCTTATGATAAGTAAGGTATATAAAAATAGCCTCCTTCCAAAATGGTTTGATTTTGACCATTTGCTTATTAGGTAGTTTTGAGTTCATAAGTCTCTAATCTCTACTGTATCTCATTACTATCTGTACTAAATTCAGAATCTGACATTGCCAAAGTTTCAAGGTTTAGCATTAAAAAAAGTCATGAAGTAAAATGCTAATATTATTCATTATAAAATAAACTTTTTAACCTTGTAGAATTTTGCTAGTTTATGGCAAATACTATTTCTTTTAAGAAAAGCCTTACTTACTATTTGCAGTGAATTATTTTTGGCATGTAAATTTTATCAGGTACAGAGCTATTAGTGTTTGGTTTTAGTGTTATGACAATACTAGGGTGGGTGGGTTCCTGAATTAGACCTGTGTTTGAATCCTGGTTCTTCTGTTTACCAGCTGTGCTTTTTCAGCAAATTACCAACCTTTCTAGACATTTACTCATCAGTAAAGTACAACATGAACACAAAACCCATGGCTTTTGGCAGAATATGAGTCTATTCTGACTCATAGTGACCTGACCTAGGAGAGGAGAACTGCTCTGTTAGTGACCTTCCCTGGGAGAGGAGAACTGCTCTGTTAGTGACCTGACCCGGAGGGGAGAGGAGAACTGCTCTGTGAGTGACCTGACCCGGAGGGGAGAGGAGAACTGCTCTGTTAGTGACCTTACCTAGGAGAGGAGAACTGCTCTGTTAGTGACCTTACCTAGGAGAGGAGAACTGCTCTGTTAGTGACCTGACCCGGAGGGGAGAGGAGATCTGCTCTGTTAATGACCTTACCCAGGAGAGGAGAACTGCTCTGTTAGTGACCTGACCTGGAGGGGAGAGGAGAACTGCTCTGTTAGTGACCTTACCCAGGAGAGGAGAACTGCTGTTAGTGACCTGACCCGGAGAGGAGAGGAGAACTGCTCTGTTGGGTTTCCAAAGCTGTAAATCAGTACAGGAGCTGAGTGTCCCAGCTTTCTCCTTTGGAGCAGCTGGTGGATTTGAACCATCTACTTTACAGATAGCAGCCTGATGCTTAATCTGCTGTGCCACTATGGCACCTTACAATAAAGTTCACCTTAATACCTACACTGTAGGATTGTTTTTAAGATTAAACATAAGTCTCTTAGTTTAATACCTGGCACATTATTTTTTATTTTGTGACTGTAAAATCCTTTATTAAGATCTCAGAATGACTTAAGGTGGTATTTCAATCAGAAAAAGAATCCTTTAAGGTTCTTAAGGGCATGCCTTAAAATCCAGTCCATTAAATGATAGTTGTACACATTTTAAGGTGTGGTTGAACCCTAAAGGAAACTCAATATGAGGACTTTTTCATGATGACTGTAGATGGAATTTTTATTTACTTCAGTATTAGTAAATTTTTTCAGGAAGGATCAGATAGGAAATATTGTAGGTTGTACAGGCCACATAATCTCTATCACAACTACTCAAATTTACTATTGTTGCAGGAAAGCAGCCATAGACAATGTTAAATGAATGAATGTGGTTTTGCTTCATTACAACTTTACTTATAAAAACAGGTAGTCAGACAGATCTGGTCTTTGGGTGATAGTTTGCCAAACCCTAGACTAAAGCAAAAACTCCAGTGGTGGTGTGCCATGGAGTCAGTTCTGACAGTGACCTTGCATAGGGTTTCCAAGGAATGGCAGGTGGGCCTGAACTACGAACCTTACAGTTAGCAATTCGGTGCTTATTCAACAGCACCACACCAGGACTCCTGACAAATGGTAGTCAGTACGTAAACCCATGTAGATTGGTTCTAGAGTTAGGACTTCAGTAAGAATGAAGGCAGAATTAAAAAATTTAGTTATGTGAATGCAATGATTAATCAGAATATGGTAACCCAGTGAAAAATTATGAATTTGCATTTTAGAATAATAGTTAACTATACTTGCAATGCTGTTTTGTGGTTTAATATTATAAAAAATGAGACTTGGAGAAGGAGGGCGAGTATATTTTGCATGTAGGAGAGATGCAGTCATTGAAAAGTCAAAGAAAAATGAGAATTCAATTCAGGATATTGCTCCTGATATCACTCACCCACTGAATAAACAAATGTGAGTCTAGGATAAGACAGACCACTACTAAGCATTGGGATATAATGTTTCTGAAAACCAACATAGCCTAGTGCCATCCTTGACATGAGAGTAGATTCCCAACGGGATGATGTTCTTCTCAACCCAGGCCTTGTTTTATAGTGGGAATGTTCATTAGTTCTTAGTGAGGACCAGGTGTATCTTCTTGTTATGTCTCAAGAAGATTACTGGAATAAAAACAGATAAGCTGAGATGTGAATTTTACAGAAATTATGTGTGACTTCCAAGTGTTCACCATGAAGCTCTGTGGCTTAGTTGGTTAAAGTGCCTGTCTAGTAAACAGGAGATCCTGGGTTCTACTCCCAGCAGAGCCTTTTTTTTTTTATATACTTTAGCAAAGTCTTGTGGTGGGTTAAATGGAAGAAAGCTTTCATTTTTATCTGATGAAGCCCCTAATACTAAGTCATGATAGGTCTAAGGTCATTTGTAGAGGAGATTTAGAGATGATAGAAAATTATTCATGATGAATTATCAAAGTCTATTCCATGGAGTCCTGGTGTGGCACTGTAGGATAAGCACTCAACCACAAAGTCAGTTGAACTGCAAAGTTGTCGGTTCAAACTCACCATTCACTCCTTGGAAACCCTATACGGGGTCACTATGAGTCATGGTGACTCGATGGCACTTAACAGCATCACTAGATTTAGGATTTACCCCAATTACAAAACAGTTGACTACATACGTAAAGTAACATCTCTCGTTCCAGTCACATTAAAATATAATTTTCTTTCTGTGAATGATTCATCTTTTGATTTTGCCAATCTGGTTCATTTATTCCCATTTGGTCTCATTTCTTTCCACTGTATGCTGCAATCTAGAAGTCCTTGATGCTCATATACCTTCATTCACTTTTTTTTTTTTTTTAATGTTTTATTGTGAATCATATGATAGTTTACATGAGAGAACCTCAGTTATATATTCATTACATCGTATATCATTGCATTGCCATGGTTCCAGTCCTCTCCATGCATCGTCTTCCGACCAAAGGGCAAATTCTAGAAGCCCGTGCCCTACGCTCCCCCCTCCCCCCTCAGTCTTCGGCCCACAGTTCTCTCCCTCTCTGGATCCAAAATCCCCAGCCGCTTCATTCCTCCATGTCATCATCTCTGTCTCCATCTCAGGCATCCCCAGTTCTCTGGGTGGGGTCCTGTTCTCGACTCTTATCCATTGGTGGTCCCAGAGACCTCCGCTCCTAGACTGGAGAAATAAATGCTCTCTTTCTTGCTACAAAACATCTACCCTTGCATTTCCAACCCTCACAATCCGTCTTGATAACCATTATTCACTACAGTATCGCAAGTAACCCATCTGTATTTCATTTCATCAGCTGCACCTAGACAAATTGGATAGTACTGGTGATTCTGCCTTCCTCCATGCCCCCTAGCTCTAGGTTCCCTCTTGAAAACTTGTAAGCCAGTTACTTCTTGCCTTTGTAGTCCCTCCCTCCCCATTTGGGTATCCAGTGTCCAAGTTGCCTCTCTCTGTCTACTCTGTGTGTGGGGAGGGGGTGGAAATGTTTCTTACTGTAAGGATTTGTTGCCTCTTTTGTGTCACTGCATTCATATGCATAGGTCAAGTTCATCAGTTTGGATCAGCTCAATCTTCTTCCCCCCACCCCTCTTCTTTCTTCTCCTGGTTGAGCTCTGATCATCTAGTCCCGGTCACGTGGGTGTCATCTGCAAGTGTGGGTGTTCTTGTGCACATGCCCTCTCTTCCCAGCAGCCGGCAGCTCCATTCTCCACTTGAGTCCTCTGTGGCCACGTCACTGACTCTGGGCCCAGGAGTCCTCGGGTCTCCTCGCACTGCTTGCCAACCAGGTCCCCAACCGGGTCCACAGAAGCCCTCTGAATAATTGTGAGGCTTAGCTCGCCGCTTCATTGCTGCCTTTACCCCATTTCTCCCCAACGGTGATGCGTGTGTTTACCAATCCCAGCGTGCATTTCCACCGAGTCTCAGTTTTTTTGGGGGGGGGAGGGGGCCTACGTTGGTGGGACCCGACCGACTGCCCCAATGTCTCCTAGGGGAGCGACCCGTTTGTTCCCATAGTAGCAGTCCATCTGTCTCCATTGTGTCGTATTTTTCCTGTAGGTCTTCCATTCAAGACGTATCTTTTGTTCTTCTCACCGTTCCAGGCTCATCAGCTTGTTCCTTCAAGTGGGGATTTCTCATCTCTGGTGATCTGGATGTGTTTCTGGTTTCTACCTATAGTTTTATGTATTGCAAAGGCTCCGCAGAAAGCCTCGTTCACCGGGTACGCTGTAGCTCCGTTTTAGGTATTCCAATCAGTTAAAGGCAGAAGACAGACTTACAAGCCTTCTAGTGTGATGTTTCTGACTATTCCTTTCTCTCCC